CTCCACCGCTACCCACTAACTTCGATGACCTTAAACATCGAATAAAAACAGCGATCAACTACGTCGCTCGTGATATGCTGGTACTCGTCTGGGAGGAATTCTCTCAACGCATTGATGTTACCCGTGCTGCAGGTGTGGGCCACATTAAACACTTGTAAGACAAGGCACACACTCAACACAATACATTAAATAAAAAGCTTAATCGCAGTACCTTGTCTGTCGTCTTTAATAAAACACACACACACACACACACACACACACACACACACACACACACACACACACACACACACACACACACACACATATATATATATATATATATATACGCATGAAGAATTATATATCACATATATATATATACACACGAAGAATTATATATCACATAAATCTACACAGCAAAGCAGAGTGTATGGAGAAACAAAAAGGAAGGAGGCTAACATATATTATGGAGATTCTCCTGTGTCTGGAGAAGCCATGTTTAGGTCTCCAGATTCAAATGAGCCGTATCAATCTATGTCCCAATGATAATCACAGGGGGTGAATTACCGCCCCCCTGACGATAATTACAGGTGGCACAATATTTGAAAGAATCCATCTCTTTCTTGGTGAGTTTTCATAGCTAAAAAATGTATTCTATTCGCTCCCACAAAAAGTAAGTACCTCAGCTACACTAAGATTGCTTTGAACAATTTTTCGTTTAATTTCATTTCTATTTTTTCCTTTTGTAAAATGTCCTATTATTGTGGAGTGAATAAGACACCCCCGGTAACACAAATGAACCAGGTAAGATGGCCTTAAATAAAGAACTCATACTGATTCAGGAGAGTTCCGTTAGAGTCTGTTGAGATATAATATTATAACTGCTAAGAGTGAGTTTTAACACATATCAGTGTATTTATTAATATTTCTTTGTTCAAATACTATGTCTTATTTTTTTCCTTGGACTTACACGAGTACAACAAAAATTGTTTGTGGGTTGAATATACCAGGAACTTATAAACTATCATCAAAAATATTGAAGTCCGCAACAAGCTCACCGACTATGGATACAATATTTTAATCTATCCAGCATATTTCTCCTGATCTCTCGCCCACTGACTACCAATATTTCAAGCATCTTTTTCTTCTGTCTTGCCTCGTAATCAAAACGGAATGGTCCATTACTTATCTAAGGTAATAGCTGGGCGTAACGTCTCTGCTCACGAATTAAGAAACGAAGTGACAAGAAGAATTATAATGACTTGAAATGCAACCGACACTGGGTCCAATTTTGCTCATAATGCCTAAGCACATTTAGAAAGAAAGAAAAAAAAGAAAGAAAAAAAACGAAAGAAAATCGAAGGAAACAATGTAGAAAGAAAAGCAAAATAAATACGGAACAAGGAACAAAAGAAAAAAATTTAAAAGAATTAAGAAATAAATGAATAAAGAATGAAACAAAAGAAAGAATGTGAAAAGAAAGAAAGAAATACAAAAGAAAACAAAAGAAAAAACGAAGGAAACAATGTAGAAAGAAAGAAAGAAAGAAAGAACGAAAGAAAGAAAGAAAGAAAACGAAAGAAAAAACGAAGGAAACAATGTAGAAAGAAAGAAAGAAAGAAAGGAAACGAAAGAAAAAAACGAAGGAAACGATGTAGAAAGAAAGAAAAAGAAAGAAAGAACTAAAGAACGAAAGAAAACGAAAAAAAAAAAGAAAAGGAAGAAAAATGAAAAAGAAAAAAGAAAGAAAGAAAGAAAACGAAAAAAAAAAACCAAGGAACAATATAGAAAGAAAGAACGAAAAGAAAGAAAAGAAAACGAAAGAAAAAACGAAGGAAACAATGTAGAAAGAAAGAAAGAAAGAAAGAAAGAAAGAAAGGAAACGAAAGAAAAAAACGAAGGAAACAATGTAGAAAGAAAGAAAAAGAAAGAGAGAACTAAAGAAAGAAAGAAAACGAAAGAAAAAACGAAGGAAACAATGTAGAAAGAAAAGAAAGAAAGAAAGAAAGAAAGAAAGAAAGAAAGAAAGAACGAAAGAAAACGAAAAAAAAACGAAGGAAACAATGTAGAAAGAAAGAAAGAAAGAAAGAAAGAAAGAAAGAAAGAAGAAAGAAATCGAAAGAAAAAACCAAGGGAACAATATAGAAAGAAAGAACGAAAGAAAGAAAGAAAACGAAAGAAAAAACGAAGGAAACAATGTAGAGAGAAAGAAAGAAAGAAAGAAAGAAAGAAAGGAAACGAAAGAAAAAAACGAAGGAAACAATGTAGAAAGAAAGAAAGAAAGAAAGAAATCAAAAGAAAAAACGAAGGAAACAATATAGAAAGAAAGAACGAAAGAAAGAAAGAAAACGAAAGAAAAAACGAAGGAAACAATGTAGAAAGAAAGAAAGAAAGGAAACGAAAGAAAAAAACGAAGGAAACAATGTAGAAAGAAAGAAAGAAAGAAAGAAAGAAAGAAAGAAAACGAAAGAAAAAACGAAGGAAACAAAGAAAGAAAAGAAAAAACGAAAGAAAAAAATCAAAAAAGAAAGAAAGAAAGAAAGAAAGAAAGAACGAAAGAAAGAAAACGAAAGAAAAAAAACAAAACAATCAAGAAAGAAAAAAAGAAAACGAAAGAAACGAAAGAAAAACGAAAAAAAACGAAGAAAAAAGAAGAAAGAAAGAAAGAAAGAAAGAAAGGAAAAAAACGAAAGAAAAAACGAAGGAAACAATCAAGAAAGAAAGAAAGAAAGAAAGAAAGAAAGAAAGAAAGAAAACGAAAAAAAACGAAGGAAACAATGTAGAAAGAAAGAAAGAAAGAAAGAAAGAAAGAAAGAAAGAAAACGAAAGAAAAAACGAAGGAAACAATCAAGAAAGAAAGAAAGAAAGAAAGAAAGAACGCAAGAACGAAAGAAAAAACGAAGGAAACAATGTCGAAAGAAAGAAAAGCAAAATAAATACGGAACAAGGAACAAAAGAAAGACAAATAACTAAATTAAGAAATAAAGAAATAGATAAAAAATGACAAGAAAGAAAGAAAGAAAGAAAGATAGAAAGATAGAAAGAATAAAAAGAAAGAAATAAAGGACAAAAAAAAAATGACAAAACGACATTGATTGATTTGGGGTTTTTTTTCGGCTCATGAACTCTTTGTAGGTTAAAACCAAAACAATATTTTTGATTGAAAGAATAATTCTTTTACCTTTTTTTGTTTTTGCATTAACAATCTATTAAGAATAACAATGATTTTTTTTTCAGGTTCAAACAGTACTATTTAACCCATAGCTGAAATGGCTTCTTACCTTTCCCGAAACTATTTCCAAATGAAAGAAAGACGAGACAAGAAAATATAAAAAAAATAAGAAAGAAAGAAAGAAGAGGTCACAGTTCACACATCTTCTATTTTGTGCCCTGTTACCTCAGGACGTAAGCGATCATGGCCCTCCACATCCTCCTGTCGCTTTTAGCTTTTAATAAGTTTTGCCTTTCTGTTACTACTTCCAGACCCTGTTCCGCCATCTATTTGCTCAAGCACATCAATTATGCTACACGTCGCTTTCCCCTGTTTCTTTTTCCCTCTATCCGTCCTGTGAGTATCAAATTTTCCAAACTCTCCTTTTTTATTACTTGTCTCAGAAATTTCCTTTTCCTGATGTTAAATATAAGACTCTCCTTTTTATCCATTCTCTCCAAAACCTTACTCACATGTTCGATCCATGGTATCCTCAACATCCTTCTGTAGAACCACATCTCCGTTGCCTCGAGTCTCTTCTTCATCTTTGAGGAGACCGTCAAAAATTCGCTGCCGTAAAGGAGGACATATATCACGTAGCAGTTCAGTATTCTTTTCTTTGTTACCAAAGAAATCAAATGACTTGTATGGACTCTGCCTAGCTTTTGAATGCGTCTTTCATCCCAATATGTCTTCGGATGTCAGTCGCCTCGAGGCTCTTCTTCATCTTTGAGGAGTTCAACATTCGCTTTTGTAGCACTTCAGTACTCTTTTTCTTTGTTACCAAAGAAATCCTCCTGTCTCTGTAATACCTGCCCAGCTTTTGTGGCGTCTTTGGCCATCCCAATACGTCTAATATCGAGTCTCTTCTTCGGATCTCAGATAGTAGCACCTCTTTGAGGCGTAATACCTGCCCAGCTTTTTCATGCGTCTTTGAGGAGACCAGTTCAGTTTCCTCTTCATCATTCAATCATGCCGTAAAGGAGGACAGATATCACGTAGCACTTCAGTACTTTTTTGTTTACCAAAGAAATCCTCCTGATGTAATCTCAGCTTTTGGAATGCGTCTTTGGCCATCCCTTCGGATCTCAGTCGCCTCGAGGCTCTTCTTCATTGTTTGAGGAGACCGTTCAACTGCCGTGTCAGATATCACGTAGCATGTTGCTTCTTTCTTTTTCTTTGTTACCAAAGAAATCCTCCTGTCTGCCGTAATACCTGCCCAGCTTTTGTGTTGCGTCTTTGGCCATCCCAATACGTCTACGGATCCCAGTCGCCTCGAGTCTCTTCTTCATCTTTGAGGAGACTGTCCAATATTCGCTGCCGTAAAAGGAGGACAGATATCACGTAGCACTTCAGTACTCTTTTCTTTGTTACCAAAGAAATCCTCCTGTCTCGTAATACCTGCCCAGCTTTTGTGTTGCGTCTTTGGCCATCCCAATACGTCTACGGATCCCAGTCGCCTCGAGTCTCCTCTTCATCTTTGAGGAGACTGTCCAACATTCGCTGCCGTAAAGGAGGACAGATATGGCCATCACGTAGCGGACTTCAGTACTCTTTTCTTTGTTACCAAAGGAAATCCTCCTGACTTTGTCTTTGTTACCAAAGAAACTTCTGTCTCTTGCCTAGCTTTTGGAATGCGTCTTTGGCCATCCCAATATGTCTTCGGATCTCAGTCGCCTCGAGGCTCTTCTTCATCTTTGAGGAGACCGTTCAACATTCGCTGCCGTAAAGGAGGACAGATATCACGTAGCACTTCAGTACTCTTTTCTTTGTTACCAAAGAAATCCTCCTGTTTCGTAATACCTGCCCAGCTTTTGTGTTGCGTCTTTGGCCATCCCAATACGTCTACGGATCCCAGTCGCCTCGAGTCTCTTCTTCATCTTTGAGGAGACTGTCCAACATTCGCTGCCGTAAAGGAGGACAGATATCACGTAGCACTTCAGTACTCTTTTCTTTGTTACCAAAGAAATCCTCCTGTCTCGTAATACCTGCCCAGCTTTTGTGTTGCGTCTTTGGCCATCCCAATACGTCTACGGATCCCAGTCGCCTCGAGTATCCTCTTCATCTTTGAGGAGACTGTCCAACATTCGCTGCCGTAAAGGAGGACAGATGTCACGTTGTACTTCAGTACTCTTTTCTTTGTTACCAAAGAAATCCTCCTGTCTCGTCATACTCTGCCTAGCTTTTGTATTGCGTCTTTGGCCATTCCAATACGTCTTCGGTCTCAGTTGCCTTGAGTCTCTTCTTCATCTTTGAGGAGACCGTCCAGCAATTGCTGTCGTAAAGGAGGACAGATATCATGTAGCAGTTCAGTAGTCATTTCTTTGTTACCAAAGAAATCCTCATGTTTCGTCATACTCTGCTTATCTTTTCTTATTTCTGCTGCTTCAAGTCTCTTCCTCATCTTTGAGAAGATTGTCCCACATTCGCTGCCGTAAAGGAAGAGAGATTTGCCGTAAGAGTTCAGTATTCTTTTCTTTATTTATTAAAGACATTTTTATGTTTAACGTTCTTTTTATAGATACAAATATTTAAGTAAATGCTCTGTTTATAATAAACAGTATTAAATAACATTTACCGGCCTGAATGTCCGAGAAATTTTCATAGAAAATATTCGTCCTTTGACAGGATTCGAACCTGCATCCTATACGGAACCGTCATTTACGCTGACGTGTCTTGACCGCTCGGCCACAAAGGATCGTTTGGTTGGCAAGGTCGAATTTACTGCTTATAAACTTCAATCTTCCATGAATCTCGTACATTCATAAATTGTCGGACTTTGTCCATTTCTTAATATATGACGTCATTTGTTTACATTTGATAAGCCATGAGCAGTTATGAATAAAAATGTCTTTAATAAATAAATTGTCGGGCTTTTCTTAATATATTCTTTTCTTTGTTTCCAACGAAATTTTCTTGTCTCTTAATACTCTGCTTAGCTTTTGAAAAGCACTTTGACCAACCCAATACGTCTTCAGATCTCAGTGTCACACTTTCCGTCCTCTGTTAAAACACTTCCAGGATCTATTTAACGAAATCTCGTGCTCACGCGAGAATTAATTTACTTATAGGCAATGTTTTAAAACAGGTCGTCATCTTAACCTTGGATCTGGGAAATTGGTTTAACTTTTCGTAGAACTTTTGGGAAGAGCTTAATGCACAACCCAGACAAATCAGGAATGGGATACCTTAAAAATCAGCATTCGGAATTCTGGCTTCTACAACCATTCTGACTCAACTCGAGCACCATTTACATTATAAGATATCTCCGACAATGACAACGAAACAACAAAGGCGAAAATCTGTAACCGGATGACGGCGACTATCAAATTCTAAAACTAGCAACGGGGAATTTATTAACGATATAAACTGCTTAAAAGGCGGGATTCTGTTGGTGGACGTTAAGGGTGATTTCTCTCGCCTCCACTTTCATTTCAAACTGACCAACGGCGATAAAACAAAGGTCAGCAAAGGTCATATAGCAAGACCGACCGCCATCCCGATAAATATTTTCTATGACAATAGAAATCGTTGTATAGTAGTTTATCATAGTATAATAGGCAAATACAAAGAGACTAGGATAGATAGATAGATAGATAGATAGATAGATAGATAGATAGATAGATAGATGCAAAGAGACTAAGATAGATAGATAGATAGATAGATAGATAGATAAGGACTAGTATAATAGGTAAATACAAAGAGACTGGGATAGATAGATAGATAGATAGATAGATAGATAGATAGATAGATAGATAGATAGATACGGACTACTATAATAGGTAAATACAAAGAGACTAGGATAGATAGATAGATAGATAGATAGATAGATAGATAGATAGATAGATACGGACTAGTATAATAGGTAAATACAAAGAGACTAGGATAGATAGATAGATAGATAGATAGATAGATAGATAGATAGATAGATAGATAGATGGCGACACATATTCGAGTAGCCCTGTTTACCAGATTTGGTGCAATGCTCTCGTACCCCACCTCCGCCCAGTCAATGATGCACCCTCCCCCATCTATGATATGGAACACCCACTCTATTCATCTCAATTTTTATAAGGTTGTATTCATATAAAATACACATTTTATTGTAACCTAATTATGTACAATAATGCATCATATGCAATATAGGTGAACATTTCAACAAGAAAAATTGAAAATAAATACGATCTATCTAAATAGAAATTAGAGACATGTCACAAATCCTGAACAGGAAACAAAAGATAAACCTCTACTCGTGTGCAAAAGACGGGGGAGGAGTGTGAACTGGGCATTAGGGAAATCTATCTACTTCTAACTTACACCAATGATAAGTGTATAAAAAAGAAAAATATAAGCAGTAAATTGCTGATATCTCCTGAAGAGTGAACGGACATGTCCGTCTACGAAATTCTGGAGTCGTGATGCTGAAGCTAACATCAATCAGCTAAATGACAAACATTTACTTATATATATATATATATATATATATATATATATATATATATATATATATATGTGTGTGTGTGTGTGTGTGTGTGTGTGTGTGTGTGTGTGTGTGCGTGTGAGTGAGTGTGTGTGTGTGTGTATGTGTGCATTTAGGCAGCAAATTCTCTTTTAGGTATGTCTGATTAAAATAAAATACAAACATTATGTCTGCTTATTTTTAGCATAATCCGTTCATATTCACGGATATTTTCCCGTACATTACAATCAAATGAGGCAAGATATGTACTGTAGCAGTGAAATCCCTTTTATTTCCCAAGTACTTTCCATCTCTTTCTGAGATCATCATCAGGTGTGCAACTAGTAAGGCAAAAACTATGTGTAAGCTATCCGTTACTGATTTTTTTTCTTTTTGCGTTTAAATGCAATGGTTGAAAGTTATGGTTTAGCGTTCATTAGAATGGGAAAAAATTGTCGATTGTGGATTTTTTTCTTTTATATTGGAATGTCATGGTCGACCGCGCATTACAGCGTGAACACTGTTCTTTTTAAAAGCATTTTAGAGCATAACTGCAATATTTGTAATTAATTCTATTCACTGTCGACTTCAATTTTTTAATGTAGATTGCTTCGAGGATCTGTAGTTTTAATTTGTAATTTTCTTGGTGTAGGATAGTTGTTTTATCAATCAGTATTTTCTCTACTGTGAACGTAGACAGGATTGTTGCTGTAAATGTCTCGCAATGGACGAATGCTCAGACATGTGTAGAGTAAAACGTCTTGATAATATAGTTGCCGTATATCTGACATATACATTTGTTTTTCTGTAGGAAATGCATTCTACCAAGGGACATTTGAATTGATATATAATGTTGCTTTACGAAATACATTATATATATATATATATATATATATATATATATATATATATATATATATATATATTCATTCATTTTAATACAAGGCCCAAGAGCCACTCAAAGTAGAGGGTTGCTGTGTGGTATTGTATTAGCATCAGAAAGGGCAAGAATTGAAGTTCTTGGCAGGAAAGAAGTTTATCCCTTGTTTCCTGTTGATGACTGGGTTTCCGGATTCTTCCGAAGTCTAATTATACACTATACTTCTAACATCTTCGAGTGTATAAATATATATAACGTTTTTTCCGGTTTACAAGACGCTGCGGCTCGGAAGACGCTGCGGCTTGGAAGACGCAATCTAATATTGGAAAGAAATTTCTAAGAAAAAACGTCATCTTCATACAACAACACATTCACCATGCGTCCCTCACATACTGGCGCCAAATATTGTTTACATTAATCACTCGTCCGATTTTGTTTGTATAGCAATGGCATACTAGTCAAGAGCAGAAAGGCAACCGCCGCTGCTAGTAAACAGAGCATGTTTAAGCTTGTGGCTCGGCTCCAGGAAGGTTTATAATCTTGGAAATACTTGTAACAGCTAAGTACTTAGGTTACATCATATTAAAGGCTGAATTAGATAGCTAACATTATAGGGTAATGACTCAACATACAAATCCAAGTCCCTATAAGTCAAGCCAATTAGGTGACCGTTCAAGCTTACTTCTTGTATTTTTCAGGTTATTTGGGGGAAAAATTGCGTCTGAAAATACGGTATATATATTTATATATATATATATATATATATATGCAAATATATTAATAAAATAGGAAGGAAAGAACCGTTAGATTGATGATCCGAAGTATTTTTGTTTTTATTTTAGAAAAAAAAAAAACAGTGCTCGATACACAAGTAGAGCCTAGATTATAATTATTTTTCTAAAAAGTATGATTCCATCGGTACTCATGAATTACCATGTTTCAAAGACAGAAGCTAAAAACTTCATTTATAGAAATTAAATTAAAGTACCTGGTTCATTTTCATTTTCAAGCGAATTTTGGAATAACATATTTTGAAATTTACGGAGCTTTATAAGCACCTACATTCATAATATTAGTTTCCATGGATATGAAGAAAAATAATCATTTTAAGAAGGGTCGGTAGAGTATTCATTTTCACTGACAGCTATTGTATCAACATATTAGTTACTTTCGAAATGTTAAGTCAAGGTAGGGTAGGGGTGTTTTTTCAAACGAATGATGACATCCGTTCAGCGCATGTCGTCTGATCTTTTTCAAAGACGGAAAGTTTGGGGCACTTCTGTTATGCCGTTAAATTTGTACGTGTATGCATAAAGATTTAATTTAAGGTTAATTTAATTTCTATGATTGAATTGGAAGTTTTTAGCTTCTGTTTTTGAAACATGGTAATTCCTGTGTAGCGATAGAATCATATATTTTTTAATAATTATAATATATATATATATATATATATATATATATATATATATATATATATACTCTTAATAGTCTTCTGCTCTCTTTGAACCAGGAATCGAACTCCCGACCTTTCATGAAACAAGATAAACGTTTTCATCGACAAAGCTATATATCCTGTCGCACAGCGTTGTTTATGAAATAAAATAGATAAATTGATTGTCGCTCATCAGTTGCTCCGGTGGCACAATCGGTTAGCGCGCCGTACTTATAAACAGTACTGAACTTGTGTACAAGCGTACGCAAGTGAAGATATGCGGAGGTTGTGAGTTCGAGCCTCACCCGGAGCAAACATTTTTTTTTTTTTTTAACTAACATAATGGAAAACTTTCTACTAATTTTAGTAAAGAGTTCAACATTAGTCGAAAGAATTTTACTTTTGTTCATGATGGCTTTTACAATACAGTCAAGACAGATCTTTTACTCAAATTTAGGCAGTTCAAGCTAAAGGCTTCTAATGCCATTTAAAAGAAAAACGAAATCATCTTTTTTTATCGATTGATTGATTCATTCATCTTTTACAGTTTATCAACCCTTTGCAGTTTATTTAAAGCCAGAAAATATTTTAATTTGCATTTTTTTTCTTTTTGAGAGATGATAATAGTTTAGTGATACAAGTCTCATTAATTAACCCATAGCTAGGGGGAAAAGAGGTGGATTCATACCTTTCTAAAGCGTTTTAGCACGCATGTGAAGATAACGAACCCAAATGAAATTGGAACTCGGGTCTCCGATTAAGAATCACAAGTTATTATCCATTACACCACCCGCACATCCAGGCCGACAGCACTTAGTATTCCTAAGGCACATTTTTTTTGGTATTCTATATTTCTAATGACCCAGAGTTAATGTCACGAAATACGCATTCGTATTGCTGCTCATTTCAACCTCACTTGGCGCTCTTAAATTTTAACCTTGTGCCAAACTAAGCCCATATATATATATATATATATATATATATATATATATATATATATATATATATACTCTCTGGAAAGGAATGGTTACAAAGATAGTTTAACTGACTTTTAATACTTTATTTTTAAAATGTTCACTTTGTACAAGGTCCAAGAGCCACTCAAGGTAGAGCGTTATAGTGTAAGAATTAAGAGGCACAGTTTATCCGGATATGTGGGGAAAATAACGGCTAACAATAGACTTGAACAGGTTAAGATAATAGTGATCGAGGAAGCAACCTCTTGGGAGCAGGTTCCACGAAAGAGTGACTTGTGGGAAGAAGCTGTTCGAGTGGAACTTACATCTCACCTGAGGAATGAGGGGAGGTTGCTACAATGGGCGTGGCATGGAGGGTGTTAGCTATTGAAAGTTAGAACTGATGGAACTGGTGTTCGTCTGAATAAATTCCATGGAAATAGCGATAGATCAACGTCAGGCTTGCAACGTTTTGCCTGATGGAAAAGGTTTGCAAGATGGAAAATAATCCATCACCCACAAGGACGCGGAGGCGCTTTTGGCTGCTATCGAGACTGGAATGTGTATGTGTGCAGCTTCTATGGCAGCAGTACGCCATTTTCGGCCTGATCTGCTTCTTGTAAAGGTAGAGGATAGCAGGAGGAGCTATAGGTTGTTACTAGGGTAGTACGGGTAACCGACCATTTTTTCAGGTTTCTTTAGCGATGGATCGTATGTACGGATTCCACTTGAGGTCTGGGGCCAGTTTACGTCACAGTATCTGAGAAGACTCCCGTCCTGTAGTGCGTTCGTTCCTCACTAAGATCCTCTCACATTTGCTAATCTTAATAAATACACTTTCTTACTGGATTATCAGTGGAAGTCCTTTATGAGACGCCTTGTGCCAGATTAAGGTTAAGATCCCGTTACTATTATAGTAGCTTCGATCCTCATCGAGTTTTTTCCTCGCTACATGACCTTATGCCAGACAAAGATATAATAAATAAATACCTATTACAAATTAACCCTTTGAGCACTGACCACCGCTTTACCGATGGTTGAAAAAATGACGTAATGCCCAACCAACGGTTGAACAGTGGATAGAGAAAATGACGTAATGCCCAGCCACCGGTTGAACGGTGGTAGAGAAAAATGACGTAATTCCCAACCACCGGTTGAAAGGTGGTAGAAAAAAATGACGTAATGCCCATCCACCGGTTGAACGGTGGTAGAAAAAATGACGTAATGCCCAGCCACCGGTTGAACGGTGGTAGAGAAAAAAGACGTAATTCCCAACCACCGGTTGAACGGTGGTAGAGAAAAAAGACGTAATGCCCAGCCAACGCTTAAATGGTGGTAGAGAAAAATGACGTAATGCCAAACCACCGGTTGAACAGTGGTAGAGAAAATGACGTAATGCCCAGTCACCGGTTGAACGGTGGTAGAGAAAAAAGACGTAATGCCCAGCCAACGCTTAAATGGTGGTAGAGAAAAAGACGTAATGTTGAACGGTAGAGAAAAATGACGTAATGCCCCACCGGTTGAACGGTGGTAGAGAAAATGACGTAATGCCCAGCCACCGGTTGAACGGTACGGTGGTAGAGAAATGACGTAATGCCCAGCCATCGGTTGAACGGTGGTAGAGAAAAAGACGGGGAATTCCTAACCACCGGTTGAACGGTGGTAGAAAAAAAGACGTAATGCCCAGCCAACGGTTAAATGGTGGTAGAGAAAAATGACGTAATGCCCAACCACCGGTTGAGCAGTGGTAGAGAAAAAAAGACGTAATGCCCAGCCACTGGTTGAACGGTGGTAAAGAAAAATGACGTAATGCCCAGCCGCCGGTTGAACAGTGGTAGAGAAAAATGGCATAATACCAAGCCACCGGTTGAACGGTGGTACAGAAAAATGACGTAATGCCCAGCCACCGGTTGAGCAGTGGTAGAAAAAAATGATGGTTGAACAGTGGTAAGGCATTAAGTATTTTTTCTCTAAAAAAGATTTAATACCCAGCCACCGGTTGAACGGTGGGTAAACACTTGTAACTAATTTTATATCTACATACCAGTTATTTGCGAATTTTGACTCAGGTTGAATGGTTAAAATTGTTCAGGAACTCAGAAGTCAAAAGGTTAAAGAAGTTCAATTCACTGGGCGCCCTTCACATCTAGCCTTGTGTCAGGGAAAGCTCAGATTCATGGATATTTTAAATTAATTTTTAGCATATTTGCTCTTTTTTTCGCGTTTACATTTTGTTTATATTTTATTGACATAAGATGTTATTACAAATCACTTTATGGAGGCTGAGTATGCGCGTCGGTACGCACAATTATGGGGAATTTGAGGTTAAAAAGAATTATCTCAGCACATACCTTCCGCCGTATTCTTCGAAGTAGCCTATTACTTGCTGATTGCACACTGGTTAACAAAGAATGTCGCCCATAATATCGATAACACATTTGGTTCATGCGTGTGTTTAAAATTTTTCGAACCTTTATAAAACAAACACACAGATACATGTATTATTATTATTATTATTATTATTATTATTATTATAAACATTTTTAGTAATTGTTTTAAAAAAAAATTATGTCGGAAGTTAAGACTTACTCCTAACCGTTCCAATCATAGACAGATTTCAACAAAAAATATTACCTATGTATATTATTATTCTAATAAAACAGTGTTTTTGGTAACAGGGTAATTTGTTTCATGCCTGAAGCTAAGAGTTGCTCCTAACCCTTCCAATCATAGATAGATATCAACCTAAAAATAATAATACCCATATATATTATTATTCTAATAAAGCAGTGTTTTTGGTAACAGGGTAATTTGTTTCATGCCTGAAGCCAAGAGTTGTTCCTTACCCTTCCAATCATAGATAGATATCAACCTAAAAATAATAATACCCATATATATTATTATTCTAATCAAACAGTGTTTTTGGTAACAGGGTAATTTGTTTCATGCCTGAAGCCAAGAGTTGTTCCTAACCCTTCCAATCATAGATAGATATCAACCTAAAAATAATAATACCCATATATATTATTATTCTAATCAAACAGTGTTTTTGGTAACAGGGTAATTTGTTTCATGCCTGAAGCCAAGAGTTGTTCCTTACCGTTCCAATCATAGATAGATATCAACCTAAAAATAATAATACCCATATATATTATTATTCTAATAAAACAGTGTTTTTGGTAACAGGGTAATTTGTTTCATGCCTGAAGCTAAGAGTTGCTCCTAACCCTTCCAATCATAGACAGATATCAACATAAAAATAATAATACCCATATGTATTATTATTCTAATAAAACTATGTTTTTGGTAACAGGGTAATTTGTTTCATGCCTGAAGCTAAGAGTTGCTCTAACCCTTCCAATCATAGACAGATATCAACAAAAAATAAAACCCATATATTATTATTCTAATAAAGTGTGTTTTTGGTAACAGGGTAATATGCCTGAAGCCAAATACCCTATATATTATTATTAATTATTCTAATAATCAAGTAAAAATAATAATTTTATTATTATTCAGGGTAATTCGTTTCATGCCTGAAGCATATAATTATTTTGCCAAACCTTGCCTGAACTAAGAGTAATCCAAAAGGAAGAAAGATCAACATAAAAATAATAAAATAAGTTATTCTAATAAAGCAGTGTTTTTGGTAACAGGGTATTCTAATAAAAGCTAAAGTTGTTTTTCCAACATAGATAGATATCAATATAAAATAATAATATCCATATATATTATTATTCTAATAAAGCAGTGTTTTTGGTAACAGGGTAATTTGTTTCATGCCTGAAGCTAAGTGGTTCTCCTAACCCTTCCAATCATAGATAGATATCAACCTAAAAATAATAATACCCATATATATTATTATTCTAATAAAACAGTGTTTTCGTTAACAGGGTAATATGTTTCATGCCTGAAACTAAGTGTTGCTCCTAACCGTTCCAATCCTAGATAGATATCAACCTAAAAATATTACCTATGTATACTATTATTCTAATACAACGGTGTTTTTTGTTAACAGGGTAATATTTTCATGTCTGTGTATTATTATTCTATTGCAAAAGGGTTTTTTGGTATCTCTGTTTATTTTTGATGTCTAAAGCTGCAAGTTACAAGCAACTTTTACATCATGCACAACTTTCGGCTTAATAAACTCCCTCCTTATTTCTTCATAGGCTCCCCAGTAAACTATGAAGTTTCCTCTCCTTAACTATTCGACTGATACACGAGTACATGCGATATTCAGCAACGGTATCGACATGTTGAATGCGTCATTGTGCTTCTACTATTCTCCCATAGTTCCAGGCACAATCTAAACACCCAATTCCGATTTGATAGTGAACTTGTTACCATGACTTGGCCGCC